AGTGGACACGGGGAGAATGACCTGACGTTGACCTTCTCCCTGCGATATCCCCACATCCTAAAGGGAGAAGGCAACAAGCTGGAGATCATATTGCAGCGCAGAAAGCGCTCAAAGATGCGGACCCTCTTGAACTGCAAAATGGTTGCCTACAAAACACTGGCCACAGGCACCATCAACATGGCCGAGGTGATGCAGCAACCCCTCGAGGGAGACCAGGTGTTGAGCCTCTGCAGCAGCCCCAAGGATGCCAACCCCAAGGTGGCCGAGATCTGGATCTTCTCCCTGACCAGCCAGCCCATCGAGCATGAGGACTGTGCCATGCAGGCCGGCCCCATCGCCAAGGCCACAAATAAGTATGAGGGGAATGAGAGCTTCCACTCTGGGCAGGAGGACAGGAAAAACACCTCATGTGGGCAAGACCTGGAAAAGGATGACATGGACTCGGGGAAACCCAACAAGCAGTGGCAGTCATCAGTAGAGACTACATCTATGATAAAACATCAAAGCTTCTGGCCAAATGATGTGGGGCTGCTGCCCAGGCTCACAGTGTCCCAGGAGGTCCTGGATTCTGAGCAGGACACTGGGGAGCATGGCCCCAGGATGGAGGAAGACCTGAACCTGATCAACATCACCCTGGAGTATTCCAGCGATAGTGGCCCCGAAACGGAGGATGATGACGGCACCTTGAGCACCCCCAAGTCCCAGGTCCAGAAATACATAGAAAGCCTGTCACAAACCAGCCTGCACACAGAGTCCGGGAGCTTCCAAAGTGCCTGGAGCCTGAAGGAGCCTCCGAGTCCAGCCAGTGTGCCAGCAAAGATGTGGTCCTCGGGAGGCCAGCAGCCAAGTGACAGCATCTCAGAGCCAGTTGCACACAGCACGCCCACCCCTACTGGCTCTGACTTGTGGAGTGATGACAGCATCTCGAGCACCCCTGAGACCAAGCTCGAGCCATATATAGAATACCTGTCACAGTCCACCTTGGAGACAGATACTGACAGCATCCAAAGTGCCCAGAGCCACATGGAGCCTCTTAGTCCCACCAACGCTCCAGAGATGTGGGCCCCGGGAGGCCAGCAGCTGGATGACAGTTTTGCCAACTCAGTTTCCCACAGCACGGCCTCCCCTGAGGAGCAGCCTGCACAGCCGGAGGACAGCCCGGAGGCCGAGACCTCCATGGAGGACAAGTTCACAAAGACGCTGCAGGCCAGCAGGCTTCTCAGAAAGCCAGAGTCTCTCATGAGTCCCTCCACCCAGCTCGAGGGGAAGCAGGCCAACCATGGAGGCCAGAGCATGTCCCTCATGGGGGATCAGCAGGCGGGGCCACTGGATGAGCTGTCCAACAGCCAGAACAACAAGACCTGCCCAGACCCACAGAGCCAGCTGCAGGTCCCCAAGAAAACTGTTCATGATCAGCTAAGGGCCATTCTCTACCCCTACGACCAGCTGCCTGACCATGTCATTGTCATCAACACCTCCGACTGGCAGGGGCAGTTCCTGTGGGACGTCCTGCAGCAGCAAAATCTGCCAGTGGTGGGCACCTGCTCTGAGTCTGACCTCCAGGTGGCCTTCAGCACCATCGTGTCGCAGATGGAGAGATACAGCCAACACCATGCCCGGCCTCGAGTTCCCATGAAGATCGCGGTGGTGGGGGCACAGCACTACCTGAGCGCCGTGCTGCGGCTCTGCGTGGAGCAGCTGTCCCCCAAGATGCCCGAGCTGCAGGCCTACCTGTGCTTCCAGGTCCTCCCGCTGGGGTCCCACCCCGTGCCCTGGTACCTGGGCTCCGTGGATGACCACGACAACAACTTCTTCCCGGATCGGGCCTGGCGGGACCTGTTCACCAAGCTGGAGGCCCAGAGCACCGAGCTGGACAAGCAGGACATCGCGTTCGCAGTCACCCGCTACCTCGTGGGGGCCAGCTGTGTCCACCAGCTGCCCATCGCTCAAGCCAAGCTCACCTACAAGCCAAAGAGCCCCGATGAGCAGTCCTCACAGAGGTTCATTCCCTTCCTGGGGCTGGTGAAGGTGGAAACAGTGGAACCGTCCTCGGCCACCTCAGGAGACTCAGCTAATGCGGCCCCCTCGTGCTCCAGTGTGCTTTCGTCCACCCTGCCGTCCACATCTCCAGCCGCCAAGGAGGCCTCTCACAGCCCGTCCTCCTCCCCGTCCGTGAGTGGGAATTCCTCCCGCAGCCAGGGCGTCTGCACCGAGCCGATGGAGCTGCAGGTGGATTACTGGACGGCAGCTCAGCCCACAGACAAGGAGAGAGATGCGGAGGACAGAGACCTGCCTACTGCCACCAATATGCTCAAGGACACCTTCCAGTCTCTCCAGGTCAGCAGGCTGCCCAGCAGGGGTGAGGCCAGAGCCACGCCCAGCTTGTCCATGAGTGTCATCACCAAGGACCAGGACACTGAGGAGGAGGATGTGGAGGCCCAAAGCCAGTGCATTGAGGGCATCAGCCGCCTGGTCTGCACGGCCCAGCACCAGCAGAACGTGCAGCACGTCCGTATCGACGGCGTGGAGTGGAAGGACGTGCAGTCCCTCCAGCTGGACGCCCAGTGGTCCTCCCACGTCCAGCACTTCCCCGTCTGCCTCTTCTGAAACCCCAAATCCACCTTCTCGCCCTGCCGTGGCCGAGCCCAGGAGGGCCCAGCTGCTCTTCTGTTAACAATTTAGTTTACTGTAGAGACAGACTCTAGAAACACAAAGAGAAACCCTGTTAAGTGCAAATGTGCTTTCAACCTGGAAACTAATGGGGTGACCCCCACTGGGAGCCCCCAACTGCTCTGTTATTAACGAGAACACTTCCACGGGTGGGAGGTCAGCCAGGCAGTGTTGGGCAGGAGACTCCTGGACGGTGTGTTTTGTCCTCAGGATCCTGATACCCCAGTGAGAGGAGTTCTTGCCTTTGACCCCTGTCCTTCCTGGATGCCAGGAGTCACCTCCCCGAGGGCCAGCTTTGGTGTGTGCCCAGTCTCAGAGCTGAGCGGCCAGAGGCCAAGAGCCAGCCTCCCACTGGGGGCGTCCTGAGCAGAACACGGAGGCCACTCAACCCCGCCCAGGGCCCAGCTGCCAACTGGCCAAGTGCCCCTGAACCACCTACTTGTGGTTTCCAAGAAACTCCAGCCTCACAGGGGAAAAAAATCCCAGATTTATATTAGACTCTATTTTTCTCATATTATTTAGTTAAAAATAAAATATATTTTAAGTAAAATGTAATGAAATGCTATAAAATTAACTTAATTTAAATAAAATCAAAGGAAACTGTATGATCCTTCCAAGTGTACGTTCCAGCAGCACTAAGCGCATTCACAACATTTAGCGACTATAGTCACATCACAACCAGTCTCTAGTTCCAGAGCATCATCATCCACACACATCAGGACCTGGTAGTCATTCCTCCTCCCCGCTGCTCAGCCCGACAGTCCCTGATCTCTGTCTGTCTCTATGGGTTTACCTCCAGGGGGTTTTTGTGCAACTAAATTTATAGCATATAGGGCTTTTGGCGAGGTGCGGAGTGGTTAAATTTTTGGTCATTTATTTATTCAACAAGCAACTAAGCATCTTCTATGTTTGGGCCATTTCCTTTGCACTGTGAATGGGGATAATACCTAACGCCTAATGAGTTCACAATCTAGTAGGAGGAAAATACACAGAGGAGCCCAGGCCGGTTTGTCTCAGTGGTTAGAGCATCGGCCTGTGGTACAAAGCGACCCGGGATCGGTTCCCACTCAGGGCTCGTACCTCCATTGCAGTTTGTCCCCGACCCTGGTTGGGTTGTGTGGGTGGCAACCACTCGATGTGTCCCTTTTATGTCGATGTTTCTCTCTCTCTCTCTCTCCCTCACACTCTATCTAAACAAAATATCGGAAAATGTCCTTGGGTTTGTATAATAATAAAAAAAAAGACAGAGGGGACCACTCTTCCTGGCAAAGAGGAGAGGAAATTCATGCCAGGGTTCATGTCTGTAGGAAAGAGAAACACAGCTGATGGGCATGTCTTGTGAAGAACACACAAGGCGATGGTTCTGTGGCTGGTGAATTACCTGCATCTGAATCGTCTGGGGCACGTGATAAAATGCAGGTTCCCAGCATCCTTTGCAAACATTAGGATCCAGTGGGTTGGGATCTGGGACGTGGGAATTTGCATCTGAAAGTACTCAAGGTAATTCTACGGCAAGTGAAAGTCTGAGGACCTGTGAGATTAGGTTCTCCTTCCCC